CCTCCCCCCTCCCTCCTTCCCTCCCTCCCTCTCTCTTTCTCTGCCTTGTGGTTCCCCCTGGTTAAACCCAACCAGCAGCCCATCTGGCCGGCCGGCGGGACTCTCATGTTCTCCACTGCTTTCCACCAGGTCTTCACACGGTACGGGAAGTGTTACACATTCAACTCAGGCCAAGATGGGCGGCCACGGCTGAAGACCATGAAAGGCGGCACTGGCAATGGTTTGGAGATCATGCTGGACATCCAGCAAGATGAATACCTGCCTGTGTGGGGAGAGACTGGTACGTTACCCTGCTCGGGAGCCCCTCCCTAGACCCCTCTGGCCCTGAGGCCAGGCTCAGACTCTTCCCCTTTCTCCCAAGATCTCTCCCCATGTGACTTTGCCCCTATGTGACTTCCACACTCTCGATTCCCTGGCTCCCCCTTCCTGGTTCAGTTACTCTCCAAGGTAACCAGCCATCCTCTTCCATCAGTGGCCGCCACTCACTCTATAAATAACTCCCTGTCTTCTTGGGCTGCCTGCCCGTCTGGTCTCAGGGGATCTAGGGGTAGAGAGATGGGGAGAGAGGAGAAAGGGATGAGGAGAAATGGAGAGTGGCACTCCAGGAGAAATAAACTGAAACACCAAGATACATCGCAGACACCAGGTAAGAGAAGACGTGTGCAGGATGCAGAGGTCACTGGAGGACCGTGGAGCTGCTAACACAGGAGGCCGGAAGTGTGCTAGGACCCCATAGCCTCCTCACCAAGTCCCAGGGGAGACTGTGCTTATTACCAGGGGAGGTATGATGCCCCAGACTCTGCAGACGATTAGGGACTTAAAAACCCTCCCAAGTCACATGCCTTCATCTTTACAGACGAGACGTCCTTCGAAGCCGGCATCAAAGTGCAGATCCACAGTCAGGATGAACCTCCTTTCATCGACCAGCTGGGCTTCGGCGTGGCCCCGGGCTTCCAGACTTTTGTGTCTTGCCAGGAGCAGAGGGTGAGGGGGCTGCAGAAAACTACTTCTGGGGTTGTGTGTTGAGGAATCAAGACGGGGTTCTGGGGTGCTGGGAAGGTGGCTCAGTGGGTAGCGTCTATTACACACACATGAGGACCTCAACCGAGGTCCCTAACACCTGCGTAAAGATCAAGGTGGTGCACACCTGTAACCCCAGTTCTGAGCTGCGGGGTGCAGAGACAGGTGGATCCTTGGGGATAGCCAACACGCCCCAGGTTCAGTAAGAGGTCCTACCTCGAAAACATAAGTAGAAAGACACAGAGGAACACAGCTACTTCTACTTCTGAGCTATGCATTGGGGTAGAGCCATACTCACACACATACAACACACACACACACACACACACACAGAGGTGAATGATCAAGAATGGAAGGAACACTCTATAAACTCGAAGACCTTTAGAGGTGCAGGGATACAACTCCTGAGTCCTGCATCTGGCCAGAGAAGTCCATTAAGGTGAGTTGGGGAGAAGTCCCCACACTTCCCCAGCTCCCCGGCTCTCCCAGCAGCTCATCTACCTGCCCTCACCCTGGGGCACCTGCAATGCTGTTACCATGGACTCGGATTTCTTCGACTCCTACAGCATCACCGCCTGCCGCATTGATTGTGAAACCCGTTACCTGGTGGAGAACTGTAACTGCCGGATGGTGCACATGCCAGGTCAGGCCCCAGGATTCCAGTCTGGGGCTATCTCAGGCTGCACCGCCCCTCACCTGTGCCCCATCTGTATTGGCCTCCCTAACCCTGGTCCCAGATCACTCCATTTCTTATCTTTCTGGCTCTTGTCTCTCAGTTCCTGCCTATGTCTACAGGGAGGGGGTGGAAGGGTCTGGAAAGGGTGGACTGTCAGAGTAGGTCACTTCCAGGGTCCTAGGGATGGCCAGTCCTTACGTCCCATCTTCCAGCCTCCTCCTCACATAGTATCATGCCACCACCCCTTTAGTCTCTACCTGTCCCACCATCTTCTCTCCTTTGCAGGGGACGCCCCATACTGCACCCCAGAGCAGTACAAGGAGTGTGCAGATCCTGCCCTGGGTGAGCACCTCTGACCTGGGACAGGTAGAGAGAGGGAAGAGCGTGCGATCCTGCACGGAATACCGAGATCAAGGGTGAACTCCTTCCTGCATTAGGCTGGGCCTCCACCCGCAGTAGCCTCTAGATGCTGGGAACTGCACCACCAAGGTCCCCGAGGAGAATTAATAAGGATCTCTTGGGAGGGGCCTTCATGCTCTTTCAGCCTCAGATGATTGGTCCTCGAGAACCCTGAGGGGATGACACATGAGATGAAATATATCCGCAGGGAGGCTGGTGGAGATCAGCTAGGGGCAGACACGGGGCTGAGGCCAAGGAGGGGTCCTAAAGGACCCTCTGGGCGGGGCCAGTATGTCCACATTGGGAAGGGGCTGGCTGAAGGACCCCACTCAACGAGTGCCTCTTACACGGGCCCAGACTTCCTAGTGGAGAAGGACCAGGAATACTGCGTGTGCGAGATGCCCTGCAACCTGACCCGCTACGGCAAGGAGCTGTCCATGGTCAAGATCCCCAGCAAAGCCTCGGCCAAGTACCTGGCCAAGAAGTTCAACAAATCCGAGCAGTACATAGGGTAAGGACGCTCCTGGGCGGGGCGGGGCCCCTGTGCTAGGACCGTGGAGGGTACGAGCGGACTTTAACGGGAGTCTCACAGGAAGTCGAGAGAATTCACGGAAGGTCCAGGAGGCAACCAAAGAGTGTGGTTTGTGTGTGTGTGTGGGGGGGAGATCAAGCGTGCTCCCCCCACCCCCAACCCCCGCTGCGAGATTCTCGCTTCATCTTCCAGCTCCAAATTCCTTGCTGTAACCGGGATCACCTCCCACTTGCCAGCATGCAGTGTGTCTTTTCATGCATGCCATTTCATTTAACCCTCGCGGCACCTCGAGAAGGCAGGATCTCGTTTAGGAATATGGAAACAGCCTCAGAGAGGCTCTCATGCTAAGATGACCTGTCTCGTGCCGGGGGGCAGAGATATGACTCGACCCTAGCTCTTCCCCTCTCATCCCTGCACAGGGAGAACATCCTGGTGCTGGACATCTTCTTTGAAGTTCTCAACTATGAGACCATCGAGCAGAAAAAGGCCTATGAGATCGCAGGGCTCTTGGGTGAGCTTGTGAACAGAACCAGCCCTCTCCTGTGCCTAGGACATGACAGGGCCCCCTCCTAACCCAATGCCTGGTGCTCCCAGTCTGTCCCGTCCCCAAAGGTCTTTCCCCCGAGCCCTCTAGTACGGCATGAAGTGGGGGAAAGGGGCGGGGCCTTCTCTTAGGACAAAGTGGAAAAGACCAGCAGGTAGGTCAGAGAAAGGAGCTGAGGGAGAGGAACAGAAACTTTCACCTGTCCTTGAAAGTGGACCATCGGATGCTAAGCAAGTGGTGCATTTTGTAAAGAATTCATTGTTGCTTCCCCGAATTATAACTACTCATTTTGGAAAAGTAGGAAGATACAGAAAAGCATAGACTAAAAATCCTGCCAGATTCTGGTTTTCTGACCCTTGTGTACCAAGGGGCCAGTCTCTGCAAACATGGCTGCCGTGTCCCCTGTCTTGTTGAGCCTCATCGCCTCCCCGGCCTCGGCGTCCTGAGCCCGCTAACCTCTCCAACCTGAACCGGCAGGAGACATCGGGGGCCAGATGGGCTTGTTCATCGGGGCCAGCATCCTCACAGTGCTGGAACTCTTTGACTATGCCTACGAGGTAAGGGGGGCGGGGCGGGGCGGGGCCGCACAGGGTTGGGGGTTCCAGTCCACCCAACCTGCCCCGGCCGGCCTCTCCCAGGTCATTAAGCACCGGTTGTGTAGAAGAGGGAAATGCCAGAAGGAGGCCAAGAGGAGCAGCGCGGACAAGGGCGTGGCGCTCAGCCTGGATGACGTCAAAAGACACGTGAGGGAGCAAGGCACGGGGCGTCCTCTGGCCTGCCCCTTCCCCTGACGCCCCCCGCCAACCCCGTCTCCACGCCACCTTTTTACCTGCAGCCCTTGCAGCGGTAACCTGTCCCCTTGTCTCGTTTCCCTCCGCTAGAATCCCTGCGAGAGCCTCCGGGGCCATCCCGCCGGGATGACCTACGCGGCCAACATCCTACCTCACCATCCCGCTCGAGGCACGTTTGAGGACTTTACCTGCTAAGCCCCCCGCAGGCCACCGTACCAAAGGCCCAGATGGGGAGGGCGAGGAGGAGGAGGAGGGGCCCCCAGCTGCCCCCATCGACCCTGGGGACTCAGCTGCACTCCTGCGCAGTGGTTCCCCGTTGTCTGGTGAGGAAGGAGTCTTCGCCACAGTCCTCTCCCTGCCTCTATCCCATCTTTTTATTTTAACAAAATTAAACTAATATAAAAAGAGAGAACGAGAGAGGTCCGGCCAGGACCGCAGGCTGCCCTCTGCTCCATGCTGCCTCCCCCAGCTCCAAGCCTGTCTGTCTGTCTGTCATCTGAGTATCCGCCTACATTCTGCTACCACCAGTCACCAAAGCCCTCTCCTAGTGAGGGGTGGAGGGGATCTCTAGGGTCTGAAATTGGACCCCGAACCAGAGAATGTACCTTAAGGGAGAGGGCTAGTGAGGGGGCTGCCCTAGCCTTAAGAGACTCTCTCAGCCCACTGACTCCCCACAAGCCCGAGTCTCCAGGTAAGAACAAAACGCTCAGTTCTGCTCCCTCCGTCACATGGAATCGTTAGGGGGTAGAGGATCTCCTGAAGAAGTAGAGACGGGGACTCCATGTGGCCCTGGTGCTGTAGGCCACATCCCGATATCTGTAAGTCACCTCCACCTCGAAGCTGCTGGAGAGAAACCCCAAGAGGCAGCTCTCCTCTACATCCCATAAAGGACCTGGCTGGTTAGCTTCCAGCTCAGGGAGAGGGGTCCTGGAGCCTGACCTCCCTAGCGTCTCTTTCAGAGGCCTTTGCAGAGGGCCACATCCATAAATTTTCTTATGGAACGCTCCTCTTCCCCGGCTCCATTTGCTTCTCTCGACAACCTCATCTGCATTTTCTATTTCTATACGATACAGACTCTATATTGCTATATCTCTGTATATACTTTCCTCTCGCCCCGTCTGTCTCCACCCATCCCCTCTTGTCTCTGAGAATCATCCTCCCACCCCAGCTCCCCTTCTGTTTCTCCCCTCCGTCCCCCCTCCCCCCGTCTCTGAATGCCTTTGCCTGTATAAAGAGTTGGACTCCCCCCTGGTGTCTGTACTGTGTACACACATCCCTCTGAGAAGCACAAGGAGACGACACGCGCATTGTAACCTTCGCACTGTCTCGGTGGCGGCGACATAAAGGAAGCTGTGAATTACAAGCTCTGCCTCTTTCTGGCCTCGCCCTTGACCCTGCAACCGGGGCACCCTGCCCTCCCCCACAGCCTTAACACACCCTCGCCCTCGCTCCACCTATCCCAAGGCCCTCTGCCTGGCTGACCGTGGCCTCCCCCCGGGGAAGAGGTCGCTGCCCGAAGAGGCAGCGCCTACCCCGGAGCCGAGCTATGCTGGACCGAGGGAGCTGGGGGCTGGCGACCGTGCAGCTGGGGCAGTGGGCACCCACAGACAGAAGCGGAAGTCCTCATCCAGCGGCCCTCCTCTGCTCGGGGTGCCCAGCGCCCCTTCTTCACTGGGATGCCCAGGCCCACCATTTTCTGGTGAGGCGGGGTTTGGTCATGTGAAGAAAGAGACGGGGTCTAGAGAGGGAGCAGAAAGCTCTGCTGTTGTGTGTCCCGACCTTGAGGGGCCACACGTTGAAGCAGAGGGCCTCCCCACCCGTACCGGGCCAGAGACCCAACCCCTTTCCAGGCCCTCCTCTGCCCCCGTGGTCTCCAGGTCTCTAATCCCCAAACAGGACTCCTGTGGGCAGATCACCTGTGTAGTCGGCCTGGAGCCAGAGAGTGAGGCTATAGCATCTTTGAGAACCCTTGGTTCCCAAGAGTTCTTTAGACATCAGACCTCCCCAGAAGGAAGCAGGGCAAAGCTGAGAAGCGCGCACTGGTCGGGGGACAGCAGGCGGGGCTCTGGGTGACGCATGCCTCTGGTCCAATAAACTGGGTTTCAACCAGCTCCGCTTCAGTGTTGTTCTTTCTGGTTAAAGAGTTTATAGGTTATTACCATCAGCATGGAGCTTGCCTAAGAGGGCCACGCCACTCGAGGGAGTTAGGAAATTTGAGTGGTAGTCCGGTGTGGTGGTTACACTGTAATCCCAGCACTGGGGAGATGGAAGCCTCTGTCTTCCATCAGAGTTCACCGGTCTACATGAGACCTTACATATCTGATCAGGCAAACACCGATCCTCCTGGAAAAGGACAGGTTCAGGAACAGTGTGGATCACTGGGCAGTGGAAGGGCAATGCAATCAAAGGCAACAGATTTCCAGGACTCTTTGGAGAGGATTCAGAGTCAACACTCATTAAAGTCTTTAGTTAAGGTCTGAGATGAAGGGTGAGGTCCCCGCATCGGGGAGTTCCTGAGCCACTATCTGTGAAATGAGGCCCCGGCTACCAGCCAGGAGACCGGAAGCCAGGACGGCTGGTCTTTTAATTTGCCGACTTGTCTTTGCCAAGACATTTAACTCCTTTGAGTTGTCAGCTTTTCCGTCCGTAAAGCGAACCAACAGCACGTTTCTCGCTTCAGTACCCGGAGTCGGAGCCGCAGATTGGAAAGCAAAGCACACAGAATGCTTTGGAAAAGGTAAACGCGCCGTGCTGCGGTGAAGCCGGCACTCCAGCCGGGCGGGGAGCGCGGGTCCCTCTGCAATGCCCGGTCGTCCTCCGGCCGCCCGGGGGCGCCCGCTCCCGCCACCCCTCTATCGGCGCGGCGCGTCTCGGTGGTGCCCCCCACTGGCCGGCGAAGGCGGGAGGGAGTGGCCAGCACGCCTTTTCCGCTAGTTGCCCCCTCTAGCCCGTCGTCTCGCTGCCCCGAGCCGCCCGTGCCCGCCGGCGGGCCGGGCCCACAAACAGCCCAGGCTCTTCGGGGGGCGCGCGGGGGGCGGGGGGAGTTCCGGTTCCGGTTCTTTGTGCAGCTGCAGCGGCGGCTCCGGGAAGATGGCGGCCCGGGCGGGTTTCCAGTCTGTGGCTCCGAGCGGCGGGGCCGGAGCCTCCGGAGGGGCGGGCGTGGCGGCTGCTCTGGGCCCGGGCGGAACTCCCGGGCCTCCCGTGCGAATGGGCCCGGCGCCGGGTCAAGGGCTGTACCGCTCCCCTATGCCCGGGGCGGCCTATCCGGTGAGTGGGGCAGGAGGAGGGGCGCGTGGGCCGGGGGCGGGGCCGAGCGAGGGCGGAGGACTGGCGGGGGGGAGGGAGGAGGAGGGGGAGGGACTCCCTTGGGAGGGGCGCGGGTCCCGGGTGGCGGCGGTGGGGGGCGGGGGGAGCGGTGCCGCGGAAGAGCGTGCACGGGGAGGAAGGTAGCATCCTCACCTGCCCCCGGCGGCGGCGGCGGCATTGGCGGCATTGGCATTGTGTCCTCTTCGAGGAGCCAGTGTGGACTCCGGGGTGGGCGCAGCGGGCCCCGGGATGGGCAGCTCCAGTGTCCAGAGGACATCCGAGTTAGAGCTGCAGATGGAGAGGCCAGCTTCCCAGGAGGGAGCGGCCAGGGAAGTGAGTGTAGGGCCAGAGATGTCTGGCGAGCCAGATCCCGACACAGGCCAGAACACCTGAGTGTGATCTGCGTTGGAGGCCCGTCCAGTCCGTGAAATCACTGCTAGGCCCGAAGAAGGTCCGGTTACCATATGTCAGAGAGGCCCAAGGCTGTCGGATTGTCCTCCTGCTCTGCACCCCCAAGCCTTGTTCCATTTCAAAACTCCAGACTCCCATCACTTTTCCTTTCTTGGCGGGGCTGTCAAGGGAAGGAATGACATCTCTGGGTCCTCTCCCTCCTGTAGAGACCAGGTATGCTGCCAGGCAGCCGAATGACTCCTCAGGGACCTTCCATGGGACCTCCTGGCTATGGGGGGAACCCTTCAGTCCGGCCTGGCCTGGCCCAGTCAGGGATGGACCAGTCCCGCAAGAGACCTGCGCCTCAACAGATCCAGCAGGTCCAGCAGCAGGCGGTCCAAAATCGAAATCACAAGTAAGATGACCCCCGGGGTGAAGGAAAGGAGTGAGTGGGAGGAGGCTGTGAGGATACAGGTGGCGGGAACCAGGAAGTGCTGGTGCTGTGTCACCAAAGGTGCTGCAGGGACCCACCCGCGTGAAGCCTTCCCGGTGGTCATGGTGGAGGTGGATGGAGATGGAGTCGTTGATGGTACCTGGGAGAGTCATTTTGCAGGCCTCAGCCGTGCCGCACACGAAGGTGCTGACAGCTTGACTTACGTTCTGACTAGTTCTGTCCCAAGCTGATAACAGTATTTGTTCTGAACAGTGCAAAGAAAAAGAAGATGGCTGACAAAATCCTACCTCAGAGGGTGAGTGCAGGCTCTAGAGGTCTTCTTGAGTAGTGACGGAGACCAGAAGCGGTCAGCTCTAGGGCCCAATCGTATCTTTCTGTTCCTAAGATTCGGGAATTGGTACCAGAATCACAGGCCTATATGGATCTCCTGGCTTTTGAAAGGAAACTGGACCAGACTATTATGAGGAAACGGCTCGATATCCAGGAGGCCTTGAAACGTCCCATCAAGGTAACACCGGAAAGAAAGCCCTAGGCAGAGGGTCAAGGGCGGGGACAGGAACCTTCACCAGGCTTAGGATGAGAAATCAAAGGCGCAGTACAGCTCTCCTTGGCATTCAGATTGCGTCTCCCTCCCGCCCACAAACCAGGAATTACATTAGGAGCCTAAGAGTAGAGCAGCTGGCAGGGGAGGGGCGGGGAGCACCAGAAATACACCCTGTCCGTGGTTTTGCTGTAACTCCTTGCTGCCTTGGGAACCTGTCCCTCTGCCTGGTTCTGTCCACCTGGTAACCCAGTGTATTTATTTATACTCGGGCTGGGGGCTTGCATTCTAAGTGGAGTCTGATCCACCTATAGTAAGACAGCCTAGGAGACCCTTGTCTTTAACATCAAACTTCCGAAGCCCCACGGTCAGTCCTGTGTCTGCCTTCCTCAGCAAAAACGGAAGCTTCGAATTTTCATTTCTAACACTTTCAATCCTGCGAAGTCAGACGCCGAGGATGGGGAAGGGACAGTGGCTTCCTGGGAGCTTCGGGTAGAAGGACGCCTTCTGGAGGATGTGAGTTCCAGGTCCACTGTGGTTGGTGCTCCGGGTGGGAGCCGCCGGGAATGAGTTGTGTTGTGTGGTCAGCAGGAACCGGACTGGTGCTTACAGCTCCTGCTGGGAGCTTCCTCAGAGGGGGGGGAACCCTGTGTTCCCTGCACACAAAGACAATGGTCCTTTGTGTCTGCTCCCACAGCTTCACTGGTATCAAATGGGAACCGTTATTGTCCTGGGATCTGACTCTTGTTTACTTTGTCCTGATGATGCTAGCTTTTGGATTTAGCAGCATCTGCAGATTATTTCAGTGGTCCCTCGTCTCCACCTCCCGAGTCTGTGCTTAGCACTGAGGCCATGTTTCTCTCATAAGTCCTTGAGGTTATTCCTGTCTCCCAGCTTTCATGGAGATACCACAATTGAAGTATGATAGAATTCCCAAAGGCTTGGCTCTGCTGCTCCAAGGGGAGTATCAGATCCGTGAGAGCCCCACACTTCCCACCCAGCGGCTCCTTGGGGCACTGTTTTTCCTGTGTGCAGGTGAGCTCATTTGAATGCACACAACCTCCCCAGGGGAGGTCCAGTCTGTCTGCTGGCGTGGCTTCTGGCCAGATAAAGTCAGTTTTTGTTCTGCCGCTTTCAGCCTGTGATTCATTTCCCCTTGCAGTTGGGCTTTTCTGTCAAATGTGCTTTGTTATGTTAACCGGTTGGCTTGACTGGCGGCCTGTCCCCAGTGGGAAGTCAGGGACCCTGTCCTTGTTAAGGTCTTGCTGCCACCCACAGACTTAATGGCCACCTTGCCACATTCAGAAGATATCTTCCAGGGATTTTCCCCATTGGGCTTAGAAATTCCTTCTGAAAGAAAGTTGTCTTGGGGAATTCTCTTTTTCCAACATGACACTGTCCATCTCTTCTAGTCAGCCTTGTCCAAATACGATGCCACCAAGCAAAAGAGAAAGTTCTCCTCCTTTTTTAAGTCCTTGGTCATCGAACTGGACAAAGACCTCTATGGGCCAGACAACCATCTGGTAGAAGTGAGTAGTCCTGCCCTCCAGGCTTTAGTCATGTTGGGGATGATGGCCGAACTTGAACATCTAGGGAGAGACATCTAGGGAGAGACGGGGAGGAATGAAATACCCCAACTGTGCATTTCCACCTCTGCAGTTTGCATGTTGACCTCTAGGTGGCGCTAGCTGTACTTAGTTGGGACCCAAGAGCTCTTGCAATCTGACTTGACCCACCTGAACACTGCCCCCAAAGAAAATTGCGATGGAGTCCTCTTACACTTCGGCTATCTCTGCATCTTGTTTATAAGTATTGGTGGGCTGTAGTTCCTGACACACTGTATTTTCCTGATAGCTGTCGCCGTAGTTAGCGGGTGGACCGAATAGAGTGCTAGTGTTCGTCTAGGTCATAGATCCGGCTCTTGCTCCTTTAGATTTATATTTCAAATAACCAGAGGTTGTTATAACACCTGGTTGTACAGCGTTTTGAAGACTGTCAGCCACCGTGTTGGGACACAAACCCAGAATAGTCCAGCGTTCCGTGTGAACTTAACCTGCCCTTTCTTTACCATGTAGCTGCAGCCCCTTAACCTCAGCCACTAAGAGACATGGGAAGGTCTCTGCCATCTAAGGGAAGTAAGTCGTAGAGTCAATAGCAGTCTGCAAAGATGCTTGGTTTTCTAGCAGTAGAGTATCATGGCTAAGACTGTGGGCTTGAGAGTCAGACACATCAGAGCTCACATCTCAGCTCCATCACGTAGTGACCTCAGTGGGTTGCTTCCTCCTCCCAGGTAGCCCTTTCCTCCTTGTAAGAGGGGTTTAATCACACCCGCCTGCAGTGGGTGTTTGGGAATTCAGTGATAATCCAGGTGAATGTCATAGACTCATATATCACCCTCAAAAAGCTGAAGCTACCTTA